AACATTAAATCATTTCTTCGGTAAGTTTGTTTTGCATATTTGATGTTAAAGTGTTTAAAATACTGCAGAGAACTGTATCAAAACTGACTATATTCATGTGAGTAATCTTGTTTGTGTGAAATTATATGATAATACATAAATTCACGGTTGTTGAAAATGTTCCTTTATATCACTCTTTAGGTAAAATCTATTTGAATGTTGCAAGAGTAAGTCTGTCTTCCCTTACTTAATGTGCAGAAAAAGTATCTGGTTGCTTTATTAAGAGATGTTTCAACTTCATATAACTTTGGACTGCAACTGAATGTTATTCTTTGTTCGCCGTGCCTGGGTTTAATCTGTGATTGTATTTAAAAGTCATACTCTGTCAGGAAGATTAAGATGGTTGTAAACTCTGATTCAGAGGAAAGGAGATTAAAGCTTCGTATTCTGTCTGCCACAAATTAAACCTTTATCGCATGTTGCAAACATAAGTAACACAAATAGGACAAAATGAAAACAAAAGAATCAGTGGAAATCTGCCAGTCTCCTAACAAGAGAAAAAATAACTTTCAGGGGAGTAACTATGAACTCCTTGAAGGCAGTTACCATGACATTTATTTTTATATTCAGACTCTTTCAGAGGAGTATCATAAAAAGTTTTATTGAAGTATAATTTACATAAAATAAACTGCATATAAATCTTACAATTTGAGCGTATTGACTGATGTGTAATATACTCATCAGAGCACCTCCTCAGAATACAGAAAATTTACAACATGCCCTTTGCAATTTATTTTTCCCTTCCCTCCCTTACCATGGACTCCTTTGCATTTTCTAGAATTTTATATAAACAGAATCATACAGTATGTGCTCTTTTGTGTCTTCTTTCTTTTAAAAAAATTTTTGGGGAGGGAGGTAATTAGGTTTCATGACACCTTATTATGGTTTTAATGTACGTTCCCCTGGTGGCTAATGATACTGAACATCTTTTTCCAGGGCTTATTCACTGTCTGAAAACCATCTTCAGTGAAATACCTGTTCCCGTCTTTGACCTGTTCTCTATTTGGACAGTTCCTTTTTATTTTGTTTTTTCTCTTGTCCTATCGAGCTTTGAGAGTTCTTTATATTTCCTAGA